ATTGTTCTCCCAACATGAGAGTATATGCAGGTAGGTTTGACTCTAGCATTGGTCCTGTAGTAGTGCCCTAAATGGCCTAAAATGAAGAGGGTTGTGTAATAGCCACTTCTATTATGTGTCCTAATAAGCACCGACTGCCATAGTTTCTCCCCTTGTCCAACCCTTGGTTTTGTAGCTTGATCTTCTTTAGTCTTGGCTCAAAGAGCAAATCCCCAAAATACCAACAAATACTGCATAAACTTTATAGAAAGAACATAAAATTGTTCTACAAATCAGGACCCATTACATACTCGTATCATCAAATCCTTTTTCATGTGACATAGATTCAGATATTCACAGAAACATGCATGAATAATGAATGGTTTAATGGGAACATACTTGTCTTAATTTTATGTTTTATCACATTTACAATTCATTCAAATCACTGTACCAAACCACAGCTTATAAATAAAGATGTGAAAAAACTAAATAAATCAATGATCTTAATTAAAATTCTTCTGGTTCACATGACTGAAAAACATAATTTTGTGGAAAAGTTTGTTTTAGTCCATAAGCCACAGACATTTGTATCGACAAAGCAAGTAATACATGTTTACTGAATGAATTATTAAAGTAGGTACTGCAGATAAAACAGCAACATTTGTCTTAGATAAATTATAACTTGGATAATACATTTTTCCAAGGCTACCAATGATGACTTAATTGTTGAACCTGATGGCATTTTCTCAGTCCTTTCAGACCTTCTTGATCTCTGTAGAATTTGACACTGTTAACTATTTCTTCCTGTATACTATCTCCTTGAAATTGTTCTGCTGGTTCTCCTTCTATCTTCACGACTACTCTTCAGTCTCCCTGATTAGGTCATCATCCATGATCAAAGACTCTGTCCAGGGTCGTCCTCTCTTTATATACCCTCCGTCTTGATTGTCTCATTAGCTCTCATGTATTGATCATCTCTATGAAAATGAACTCTGTGCTTATTGGTCCAGCTTTAATTTCTACTGAGTTCCACATTATTGAACATCTCCTTTAAGCATCACTGGTACAAAACTTGTCCAAAACAAAACTCATTTTCTTCCCCTATTCCCTCCAAACTTGCCCTTCATGGTACCACCACCCTTCTAGTCATCCCCATTCAAAACCTTGTAATCAACCTCTGTGC